AAGCAAAGACTTTACCGTTGAAAGGTTTGAGGTCAGTAAGATTTTTATTTGAAAGAAAGTAATACTTTTTGATTATAAATAAATGCTGTTCTTTTGAACCTTGTATTCATCAAAGCAGTGCAACTGTTTTCAACATTGATAATAATAAGAAATGTTTCTTGAGCAGCAAATCTGCATATTAGAATGATTTCTGAAGGATCATGTGACACTGAAGACTGGAGGAATGATGCTGAAAATTCAGCTTTGATCACAGGAATAAATTGTATTTTACAAAATATTAAAAAACGAAACGGGTATTATAAATAGTAATAATATTTCACAATTTTACAGATTTTACTGTATTTTTAAACAAATAAATGCAGCCTTGGTGAGCAGAAGAGACTTATTTTAAAAACGTAAAAAAAACTCCTACTGAACCCAAACTTTTGAACGGCAGTGCAACATGTTTAAAACACATTTTTGTAACTGCTCTAGATGTAATAGTTGATATTTCGGGCACAGCTCAGCATCTGATCTTGATTTATCGTGTAATCTGTCCTTCAGAGGAACTCCAGAAAGTTCTCCTTGAACAGATAGATTTACGGCGGAGACTGGAGCAGGAGTTTCACGCTCTGAAAGGCAGCTCTCCTTTTCCAGTTTTCCGTAAGTGTCCTGACTTCACTTCACACGGTTAATCATCACGATTTCCCTTACGAGAAAGAAGTTTATTCAAGTGTTCTGTTAGTATACTTCTTTTAAACTAAAAATAGGAAAGTATACTTTTAGTCTACTTTTTTATGTACTTCTCAGAAATGGTATACTTTTAAGTATACTTGACTTATACTGAGGAAAAAGTCTAAGTATATTTGAACTATACTTGTGCTCCTAGAATCCGTGTTTTCATTGTTATACGGTAGGGGGCGCTAGTACACATCTTCTGTACAGACTTTTCAAAAAACACAAGTGAAGAAGAAACCGAAACAACAAATGCTTCCAACACTTACAAGTATACTACTAGTACACTGATATTTGTATACTTACTACATAAAGTATACTTAAAAATATACTTGAACTTTACTTAAGTATACTTACTAAAATAAACTTGAAGTATACTACATTTTGGTAAGGGTTAGCATGTGAAAATCAGAGAACCTGCTTTCTCTGATCAATCAGATAAAATCAGTATAACTCTATAATGACCCACTTCTGAAATAAGCCCCAGAACGATAAAATTAACCTTTTTGAAAAGCCCTACATAAGGGATTATATATGAATACAGGTGACCATAAGATGCCATTGTTTTTAATATTCCATATTTGGCCATCCTCTACAGATAACTTTCAGGACCAAATGAAGAGAGAACTGGCTTACAGGGAAGAAATGGTGCAGCAGTTACAGATGGTAAGGAGCTTTCTGGTAACATAATTTCCCATCTGATTAATTTGCTTTTGAATCATACAAATATCCCACATGCAGCCCTGTTATATTAGTAATCTGCTGTAGCAGGCTAAATCTATGTTAAAGAGGAAATATAAGATAACCAGCAGACAAGCAGCAGGATCTGGTGTCTCGCAGTCTTTTGTTGTCTAGAACTGGTTCAACATTGCATAGCGCTGCGGCATCAGTCACTGGGGCATCTGTGTTTTAACACATGGATGATGCTGGCAGACTGCCACTGTTTGTTCTCTCAGTTCAACACCATCCGTCAAGCCAGGGGAGATCATATATGAGAGATTACAGCGTGACAGATTGAAAGCTGAACTTCTGTAATGCACAATAGAGATGAATACATAATGAAGTTTGGAAGATGGAAGCTTACGTTTAGTGTTGTATCACCACATATAAGGGAATATGCGAATGTAGTCACGGCAAAAGGGTATTTTTAATTTAAAGACAGAACGGCTATAAGTGACCTATTGCGTTTATGTTTTTTTTTTTAAGTAAAACTTTTATTCAGTAAGAATGCATTATATTAATAAAAGTGAAAGTAAAGACATTTATAATGTTACAAAAGATTTATTTTTCAAATAAATGCCGTTCTTTTGAACTCCCTGTTCATCAAAGAATCATGAAAAAATGTATGTTTCCACAAAAAAATACGAATCAGCAAAAACTGATTTCAACATAGACAACAATCAGAAATTTTTCTTGAGCAGCAAATCAGCATATTATTATGATTTCTGGAGGATCATGTGACACTGAAGACTGGAGTAATGATGAATGATTTCTGAAGATCATGTGACACAGAAGACTGGAGTAATGATGCTGAAAATTCAGCTTTGATCACAGAAATAAATTACATTTAAACATATATTCAAATACAAACCTGTTCTTTTGAATTATAAAAATATTTCACAATTTGACTGTTTTTACTGTATTTTTGTTCAAACAAATGTAGCTTTGGTGAGCAGAAGAGACTAAAAAAAATACTGAGCTCAAACTTTTGAATGAATTATAATAGTAAAATAGTGCATTTTCTACATTAAAAAATATGAAGGACACAAGTTTTCCTTAAATATTAACTTAAAGGCATAGTTCACCCAAAAATGAAAATGTGATGTTTATCTGCTTACCCCCAGGGCATCCAAGATGTAGGTGACTTTGTTTCTTCAGTAGAACACAAACGAAGATGTTTAACTCAAACCGTTGCAGTCTGTCAGTCTTATAATGTAAGTGGATGGAAATCACGGCTTTGAGAGTAATACACAAACAAAACCAAATTAAACCCTGCGGCTCGTGACGACACATTGATGTCCTAAGACACGAAACGATCGGTTTGTGCCAGAAACCGAACAGTATTTATATTATTTTTTACCTCTAATACACCACTATGTCCAACTGTCTTTGGGTGCGCGCACGGCATCC